ATTATACTTTGCACTTCCACTCCAGAGCGCCTTTGAATGAGGTTCTTGTAGCACGTGACAAACATTAGCAACCCCTTCCCACTGCCATTTAAGTCACACATACAGCTCCCACTGATTTTTGCTAGAACAGAAGTGGGCCCTCAGGTGGGACAGCTGGAACGAGGGTATCTCAACAGTGGCTGCTTTTGCCCCCAGCCTGCTCCTTGTTGCCGAGTGGGACCACCTGTTCTTCACACTCAGGCAGAGTGAGTGGATTTGGTGGAGTTGGACTGGCCTTGAGAGGCCGCCCAGCTAGATTGAAGATGAGTTTGCTGGTCCTGGAGAGTGGTGAGTATATTGAGCTGACCTGGCATGCAAAGGACATATGAGCTTATGAAGGAATTGTAAAATATCTTCTTTTTTTGGTGGAGAACATAAGGAAAAGGGTACAGGGACAAACAGCTCAAGTTTGCATATCTTAAAATGTCCTGCTTTCCAGAGGCATGACCAGAACTGGTTGGGTGTTGTGGGATCTTTTCCAGGGTCAGGATGAAGTATGAGTTTTATAACACTTACCTATCCAGCAGAGCCAGATGAGTTATTACAGAGTACACCTGAGGACAGCTGTGTGGGGCTGAGTTGGAAGGGTGTGGGCATGGGTGGATCTGGGATTTTGAAAAGGGGGGTATAGACAGTGTGGCATATCATCACATGTAACAGTACGTATTTTCTCCAGTTAAAGAGCAAGTAGGTGCTTTGCTAATATGCTGGGGGGAGGGGGGAGCACTGTATTATTTGGTTTAAGATCAAAGCAAAAACAAATATAGCTGTTGGAATATGCAGTCATTGCTAAATTATATATAAAGTGTTTAAAAAAAACCCACTAGGCAAAAAAAAACAGTCCAAAGATGATATGTCATTAGTCCTGTAGGCATTGTAGTTAAATGTACATCCCTTATTCAGATTCATGAAACAAAATGCAGCCTTCTTGGGCATCTTGACAGTGCCTCCAGGATTTTACTATCAGTCATTTCTGCAGTTAAGTGAATAGTACCACACCTGAAATATAAGAGACATTACTGAGAATGGCTAATGGATGGCAACATTATAGAAGAAAGGATAGTTTGAATAGTGGGACTGTAAGACTATTAAGAAGTATAGAGGGTAACTTACACCTGTGGAGTGGAGAGAGATTAGCCGGAATCGGGGAGATGACGATGAGCCATGGAGTCAATTGGCTCTCAGTGCTGCATGAATAGAAATGCTGCTGCCCCTCCCAGGCAGTTGGTTTTAAAATTTGCATGGAGGGGAGTGCAACTGCACCACTACCCCCTCACCCCCAGCCCTCCCCTCCAGTCGATCCACCCCGGGTGTGGGTAAGGGCAGTTGTGTTGGTTCATACCAGTTGGACAGGTTGGTGGGTGAGGGCAGTCATTCTGGGCAGGTCTGCCTAAGGGAACTAGCTGGTAAAATGAAACCCATGCTGCAAAGACTATGTTTTCTCGACATGCATCTAAACCAACTTTCTCTTCTACCTCCCATCCTATTCCCTCCTGCAAAGACAACTTGATTTAATATGCTCTCAGATCAACTCCAAATCAGAGTTGACTCTTCCTACCCTTCTGCCTGGTTGGTCTTATTTCTTCTGGGCCCATTCCATTGGGGAGTGCTCTTCTGGTTGGGCATGCCATTGACTTGACCCATGTTATTTGGTCGAATGTGATATCCGAAGTCATAGCAAGGAGCAGGTGGGAGAGCCATCAGATCTGAGGGTGGAAGCCAGCTTTACTGACATGGCTGAGTGGCATGGCCAAAGGCTGTGTTTACATTTAGCAAACATGTCAGAACCTACATGAAGACGGGCTCAATCCTGGGCTGGGTCTAGTGGTTCCTCCAGTCCAGCCCATCTGGCTTTGAGCCAACTCATCACAAACCTGAGCTTTTGGAGAAAGGACAGGTTGTCTCCTGGAAAAGGCTTCTCTCCTGCTTCTGCCCAGGCTGCAGCTGGAGTCTCTAGACAGCCTCTTATATAAGGCATTAATATTTAAAGGGGAAAAATGTTTCTTCTTGTAGTATTAAAGCGGCTTTATACAAATTACGTGCATTCTGATCAAGGCCCCCGGGAGGAGAGTTCAACTGCTATGCAGCAAACGCATGCTTCCAGGTGAATTGTTAGGGCAAAGTGCTGGTTGCCTTTGCATCTGCTGGAAGAGAGCTGGAGCTGTGCTGCCACTGGGCAATAAGAGCTGGGTCACTGCGGATGAGTTGCTGCCTTCTCCAGGCAGCATCCAGCACTGCAAGCGATATGCTAACCCCTGGGACTGAAGCCTGTCTAGGTCCTCCCCCTTTCTACGCTGGATGGTGTCCAGAGCTAAAGCACTTACATGAAGAAGTCCTTTCCTGAATAGGGCCATTGTATTTCTGGGAGGTGGAGAAGAGTATTATTCCCATTTAACAGATGGGGAAAACCAAGGCCCTTAGCATTCATATTGGGCCTCGATCATGGCAGGGAGCCACTAGCATAGCTGGAAATAGAGCCCAGACGTCCTGAAGCTTCAACCAGTTTCCAAACATTGCCCTCCTTCCCTGGCAGGAATTTCAGCCCTGGGTTCAGCGTGTGCTGACTTGTCCTGGGCCTTTGGGCAGATCCAGGCATCAGATTCTGGGCTCTGGCATTTGACCCAAGGGCTTTTCATGGATCTGAAGGAGACCAACTTACAGGCAAGATTAAGGGAATCTTGCCAGGAGCTTCAGTGAAGTTGTAATTTGAATTTAATTTTAATTCTAGCTATTTTCCCTGCGCGTTGCTGTTTTCTTCAATTAATAGCATGTTTTAATCTGTTGGCAATGCAAGCCTCTTTCTGCCAAGTGGTCCCAGCTGCCCAGAGCCAGCCAGGCTGTTTGCAGGCACAATCTGTCCTGGCTCCATTTGTTTGCACAATGGGGTCAGTCACCCCATGTCCAGGTGCTGGATTTAGCACGGCCCATTCCAGATTGTGTTAGGGGGCAGCGAGGTAGTGTCCTCCTTTGCAGAGGGGCAGCTGTTCCGGCCTGCAGCTCGGTGGGTCCTGTTAGTTTTTAACCCCACCGGGCAAAGCCAGAGACACGCTTAGTACATCTCCAGGCTGGTGCTTGAGATCTGGTCAAGGCAGAGAGGGAAAGGAAATATCCAGTGAAAAAAAGTGTCTGAAGGGAGGGAGAGAGAGAGAAGAGAGGAGCTAGTGTACACTGATGGGCAGGGAGGCAAAAAAAAAAAAAAGAGTAGGATGTGAAAGGCCAAGCCCAGCAGGACTGGGTGGTGCAGGTGAGCTGAGCTAATAAGACGCAGTGAGTGCCATTGAGCCTGGAGAGAAGCAGACGGTTCCTGACAAAAGCTGCCAGCTCACTGGGGAGCTGAGCAGACGCACCAACAAGATTCTTTGACCTTTTCCTACCAAGGGCTGTCATGGCCCGTATTGCAGCTGGCTTGCAGTGAGCCAGGTGTGGGGGAGATGTCGGAGGTAGGAGCTAGCATTAGGTTGCAGTGGCTGAGAGCTGTACAAAATCGCTTTCTTCTAGCACTGAACAAGCAGCTTTATTAGGATGGGGAAGGCGGCGTTCTCCCTAGAGCCACTGCTTTGCTGTACAGCTTTGACCCATTTGGACCCTTTTTGCCTGGCTTTCAGCCACAGATCTCAAGTAAGCAGTAGCAACTGCTTCCCACCCTACCTCCTCCTCTTTCCCCTGCACGAGCAATCTTTTATGACAGTTAGCATTTACCCACATACTGCAGCTCCTGGCAGGTTGCTGACTTTGCTACTCATCCAGATCTCCTCCGCTTCTGCCTAGGAGTAGTATTTTATCCAGTTGATTCCTCCGGATTATTGGCTTTCCAGGCTGGAAATCCCTGTCCAAACGTCCTAGAAACTGGTTCAGTGAGTTATCTCCCTTCATTCAGGCTGGGGAGCTGCTGTGAAGTTGCATAGTAAATGGGATGAGTCCAGAACCAGCTGGAGGTGCCATCTTTTCTTCTGACCCAAATGCCTTAAGCCAGTTGGACTAAAGTAGGATCTTGAGGTGGGTAGGATCAAGAGCTGGGTTTGCCCAGGATTTATCCTCAGCTAGTTTTATTGGTACTGGGTCTCCTGATGTCAGAAGGGCTAAGCTCTGGGATATACTCCAATAACTGGCAATCCTGACACCCCTCTTGTCTCAGCCTCACATCAGGCTGCATTGGCCAAGGATTTGCCTCCAATGATGTCTTGAATTATTGAGCAAAAAAGCAATGAGCTGAGCATGCTCCAGTGATTGAGGCAGAGTAGAAAGACTTGGCTAGATTAGAGAGAACCAGGAGAGTCGGCTATAGAGAGAGAGATTCAGTGATATTAGTGAGGGCCCCAGGAAGTGGGTTGTTAATAGTGGGATTCCCTGGGATGTGAGTACAATAAAACTTCAACCAGTGTCCAGTCTAGCATGGAGACGTGACCTAAGCCTAAATGACCACATCTAGCGAATGTCAGAAACCCCTCTAATGATATAAAACAGAAGTCCCAGTGGCTCTCCGGCTGCAAACTCGGAGAGGGGCATCAGAGGCCAGACATTACAGATCCAGGACCGCCAGCTTGGCTGGGGGAAGCAGGGATGCAGTGTGCGACTGGCTGTAGGGAGCAGGCATGAAGGGATGGCTGAAGCAGAAGAGTTGGCCGCAGAGACGGGGGAATACTGGGGCAGCCAATTTGGCTATAGGAAATGCTAAGGGGAGAGGCAATGTGGGGCTGGCTGTGGTCACAGGGAGAAGCCTGTCCAGCTCACATGAGTGCCATTGCCCCTGAGCATTGTGATCAGGTCACATTTGTAAGTATTTTGTGCTGGCACCCACTGCTGCTTCCTATTAAAACACCAAGGGGGGCTGCTTTTATTGCCAACCCTTTATCACTACATGACAGGTGCAGCAGAAACCTGCTTCTGGTCCGGAAGCAGAGCTTGGCTCAGCTGGGTCTTGGCTTTCCTGTCTTTGCAGGTGAGCTGCCACTGTGCTCCGAGGAGTTTGCAGAGAGTCTGCCCCTGTGTCAGATGTTCCCTCCATATCCCTGTCACCCTGTCAGCTGAATTTCTGATTGCCACTGAAGGCAGACAGCAGCCTCTGGAGCACCGGAGGGGGTTTGAAGGTGAAAAATCTCCCAGGACAGCATCTGAAAGTTGTGCTCCTAGCTGCACAGCCTTTGAGGTCTGCGATGGAGACAGCGCGGGAGCAAATCCATCTCGGAAGCGGCTTTTTCTCTCTCCTGCCTGCTCCCCTTTTCTCTGTCTCTCTCTCTCGGTCCTTTTGCTCCGATCTCCCTCATCAGACTTTAATGACATGCCCAGTTACTGGCACTAATGAAGGGCCACGGCTTTCACTAACAGGCCAACTGAGATGGATTCTTCATGATTGACTCGATAGCCCGAGAGGGGCTGTGTGACAGCTCTCCTCCCCGGGGCTTTGAACAAATGCTCTCATCTCTAATCGAGTTCCTTCCAGGATTAATGAAGCCCTGAGATCACTTTTATCTCCCGGAACAAGACGGAGCAGCTTCCAGAATCAAAGTCTCTCAGTAAGCAAGGAAATGGCTGGTTTGGCATAGCAGCGTTTTTAGGAGAGCACAGAGCTGGGGATGGGGATGTAAAAATAGAGGTGTGTGGAGTGGTGGAGGAGGGGGTAGACGAGTCCCTGTTATAATGCCACACTATGGCAATTGGCAGGTCTCCTTTACACACCCAGGCCTTATCTTTTACACCTGCGCTTTTTCCCTTGGGTTTTGCATCCAGTTCTGTGCAGTGGCTTCAATGGGGATATTGATTTTCCCTTCCAGTGTTGCCATCCCTCAGGAAATGACTGTTTTGCCAAAGATGAAGCAGGGCAGAACGGACAAGACAGATCCATTTCTGTCTTGGCCAGCAGGACTATGGCTGGGTGATATGATTAAAGTGAGGACAAAGCATCCTTCACTCTGGTCAACACAGTATGTCTGTCCAGGAACAATGAACCCAGAGGTACATGGTGCTGGAGGGAGACTTAGGTTCATCTCTCTCTCTCCATTTGCTTTCTTCTGTCTCTTCACCATCCATGAACCCCACCATGGGGTGAGAGCCCTGCTCCCCTGAGAGTCACTAGGGGTGCTCCGCTTTTGGGTTGGTGCAACCCCGTTATGCCAACCCCGTCTGGATCCCTCTGGTCAGCAGGAACATCTGGAAAAAAAAAGTCCTGAGGAAGCAGCCCAGAACAGCACGAACAATTGGGCAAGGGCTGGGATATCAGAGAGCCCCGCAGTGGGTGGCGTCCCAGCAGGGCTAGAAACGGCAATGGGACGGAAACGGGGACAGACTCCTCTTCGCCGGACCAGAAGTGATCATCTCTTTTTGAGCCAACTGGGGGCACTGCAGGGTATGGTATAAATGTGGGGCCATGCCCTGGGGCACAGGGTCCAGTTGTGACACAAGGGGCTGCAAGGGAGATGGTAGGTGTTGGCGTGCATGTGCTTTGCTAAAACCAAGGAGAGCTGAGCCTTCAACTCTCCTTGTGGGTTTGCCGTCAGGCGTGCAGCGCCAGCTGCAACGGGGTTATCGAGTATCCCCCATGCCCAGGTCGGTGGGGACGGAAAGGGGGCTGCGTGACTAGCTCTGGCTCTGAGAACAATGGCAGCAAGGAGCTGGCGAGGTCGCTCCCACCCTCTGGCTCCATTTCACCGAAGTATTTAGATAGCAATCTCAAGGCCGGAATGTAAATTGGAAGCAGATCTGGGTGCCGAGGCTGGAGCCAGATGTTAAAGGTAAACCAGCCACATAAAATGCAGAGCGAGGGAATGAATTGATGGGCCTCGACAGTCCCCCCAGCCACAGCGCACCCGGGCACAGCCAAAGTGGAGGAGGGAACAGTCTGCGGTTTCACTGTTGCCTGCAGCTGATTTCTAGCCCGTTCAGCTCGTGTTCCCTTGGGAGGGGGGGCAAGGATGTGGGGCCTGTGGGAAGGGCTTGGTTTTCACTGTACTGGAGTTGTGTAAATGCAAGGGGTACATGCATGGGGAACGAGTGCATCTACAGGGCGTATATCTGAGGGTACCTGGGTGGTGTGTGCACGTGGTGCCCGTGCGACACGTGTCCACGGGGCATAGGGGTGAGTGGCTGGACGTGATGGCATGTTGGCAGCAGGGGGGTCAGGCGAATGTGTCTGTGTATTCAGAGGGGTGATGCTTCACTTCTCTGT